CCAAGCACCTACCAGCCTGGGAGAGGCTTTACCAAGCACCTACCAGCCTGGGAGAGGCTTTACCAAGCACCTACCAGCCTGGGAGAGGCTTTACCTAGCACCTGTCAGCCTGGGAAAGGGGTTCCCTAGTACTTACCAGTGTGGGAGAGGGCTTACCTAGTACCTGTCGGACTTGGGGAGGGGTCATCTAGCCTCTGTCCACCCCTGGGAGGTCCCCATGGTCCCCATGCTGGCTGCTAACTGAGAGGATGGGGGTTCCCTTACCCTGTGAGGCCTCAGGAGCGAGCCTGGTGATGTTCTCCTGGGGAACAGCCGTTTGGCCCGGGGAGCACGCCGGTCTAACACACAGGGTCACTGTAAGACAGAGTCACCGCCACAGCAGCTGGTTTTTATCAGGCGCCCTCCTAGTGCATACCTGGCTCAGTGTGTTTTGACTGTGCATCTGGCTCTGCTTGGCCGCAGCGATGGGCCATGCCAAGGCAGCTTGTTCAGGCATTACTGATTTTGTTACTGTTGACTGTGCACTGCAGGGCACCCAGCAGTCAGCAATCTCCGTGTGTGTAGCGCAATGACAGGGAATCGCCTCCTAGTGGGATAGCAGGCTCACCCCGCTCCTCCTCTGGGTTGCTTCTCGGCCATTCTGTCCACTCCTGCCCCTGGACTCCCATCTAACCTGTCAGCTCGCCCTTGTTCATTTGACCCGGTGGATGCACAGCCGTGGAGCTGGTGCCAGCTCCTCCTGTCCCCTTAAGAGGACACAGGGGAACGGCCCCTGGTTGTTTCCAAGACTGTCAGTCTGGACGGGAGCAGACAGCCTCATCTTTCTCCCTCAGGGAATCTGGGGATTTGAACTGCAGACCTTGTGGTTAGCAGCCATACAACCCACGGTACCACTAGGGCTCCCATTTCATTCCATGTGGGTGGATGTGAAAGGGCTCCGAGTACGTGGCCTTCACTGGCTCAACAGAACGGTGATGGGGGTTGTAAGGAGACCCTGGGGTGGGGGTATTTTGGGGTTCTGGTTTCAGGGGAGCCCCAGCCCCCAAGGCCCCTGAGAGCCTGGGTTCCACAAGAAGGTGGCATTTCTGAGCCCAAGGTCCTTCCTCCCCGTGGCGTTGAAGGAGCTGCCGGCGGCATCGGGAAAGCGTATGCCGAGGAGCTGGCGAGCCGTGGCCTGAGCATCGTGCTCATCAGCCGAGACCTGGAGACGCTGCAGGCTGTCGCCAAGGGCATCGAGGATGCCTACGCAGTGGAGACCGCCGTCATCGCTGCAGACTTCCGCAGTGGCCGAGAGATCTACGCCCCCATCCGAGAGGCACTGAGAGACAAAGACGTGGGCATCCTGGTCAACAACGTCAGCGTGTCCTACCCGTCCCCACAGTGCTTCGCCCAGGTCCCCGAGGACACACTCTGGGACATCATTAACGTCAACATCGCCGCTGCCAGCCTGCTGGTCCACATCGTGTTACCGGGCATGGTGGCCAGGAAGAAGGGGGCCGTCGTCACCATCTCCTCCGGCTCCTGCTGCAAGCCCACCCCCCACCTGGCTGCCTTCTCCGCTTCCAAGGTAGCATACCACCCACTCCTCCACTCGCCATTCATTCACCCTTCTTCCCTTGGTCCCCTCAGGACTGGTGTCTGGTCAGTGCGGGCTCTCTGTTAGCCTGCACTGGATGGCTCTTCACTTCCTGGAAACTGACGTCAGCCTCCCTCGTTTCTCCCAGGCCTACTTGGACCACCTGAGCCGAGCGCTGCAGTACGAGTACGCCTCCAAGGGCATCTTTGTGCAGAGCCTGATCCCCTTCTGCGTGGCCTCCAGCACCACTGCCCATCGCAGCTTCCTGCACCGCTGCTCCTGGCTGGTGCCGTCACCCCGGGTGTATGCACATCACGCCGTGTCCACCCTCGGGATCTCCAAAAGGACCACCGGCTACTGGTCCCACTCCATCCAGGTAACACCACACTCGCAGCTCCCCAAGGGAGGTGCGGTGCCTGCCCATTGGAGCAGGCAGAGCTGAAGGAGGGGGCTGAAACCTGATTCCTGAGGCTCTTGGTTAAGTCGCCCGTTGTCATATGACGATGATTCAAGTGCTCTCTCTGGGTGGCACCTCCACCCCCCAAAACCAATCCCACTGCCCTCGAGTCCATTCGGACTCCAAACAGCAGCCCCGTGGGGCCCCTTCCCCTTTCTGGGCCCCTGAGGCTGTCATCCTCTGTGGGGACTCCCAGAAGGCTTCTTCAGTCTCCCTCCCAAGTCACACCTGGTGGGTTCCAATAGCCAGGCTTCAGGTTAGCAACGCAACACTGCGTCCACAGCGCCACCTGCTGTTGTCGTGTAGGTAGGAGCAGTGTGGAAACAGTATGGATACATTCACGTCACATAATGTATTTATACATTCACCTAAGCATTAAATATTTCAGTGGCCAGCCGAGACCACATTTCCTCATCCAGCACTAGCCCTGTACGCATCTCTCTCTGCCTCTGTCCACATCGCCAGTCTTCTATTCGGGAATGCTTTTGTAACAAGCGAGTGTTTCTATCTATCCACACTCTGCACTGTGTCCTATAGGTAGGTCTGCCCACCAGCTGCCGAGTGTCCTGGAGCAAGGGGCTGGGTGGTGCTCATGTTTCTACCCACCCCACCCCCACCCCAGGAGAACACAGTGCTCAGTCCTACAGTCCGCGTGCACCTGTCCCTTGATTGTGTGTCTGGGATTGGCGGCTGTGTGTTGGCCCCATGCTACCGGCACTAGGCTCTAACTGTGCATCCTCTTTCTCTTTTACCTCTAGTTCCTTTTTGCACAGTACATGCCCGAGTGGCTGTGGGTGTGGGGCGCGAACCTCCTCCACCGCTCGCTGTGCACGGAGGCCTGAGCCGCGCCTGACCAGGGGAACCTGTAGCGCCAGAAGGATACAGTGAGAGCCCCGAATGTCTTGTCTCTTCGGAGGGGCGGTTCAGTGCACTGTCTGAGCAGGCTCGGGAGAGCCCCAGGGAAGCCCTGAACTGCATAGGCCAGTCATGGCAGAGACCGCAGGGCAGATCGGAGAAACCCATGTCCCCTCGTTGCTCTCCCAGGATGTGCGAATCCTGCAGCCCTCTGAAACAAGACGTCCCGGGACAGACGGAAAACAGTTGTGGCCCATGGCTCTCAAGCTTTCAGACAGCCGTGAGGACGGCGGTCTTTCAGGGAGAGTGACCGTTTCCTCAGCCTGAGCAGCATCGGCTGCCAGGTGTTCATTGGGAAAGGCTGCTTCCGAGTGCTGTTTCATAACCAGGCTGGCTGGGACTCGAGTGAGTGAGTGAGCGAGCAAGCGTGAGTGTGTCATTGTACAGCTTTGGCCGTTTGTGTGTAAAAGTGCTGCTCCTCCCGGAGGTTTCCTTGGGAGACATGCATGTCTATGCCCAAGCAGTTTGACTGACGGGCAACCGGCTTCTACAAAGACCTGCCAGGATGGTGGGACGTGGGACCTGACAGGGGCCAACCCTCGTTGGCGATACCTCTGCATACTCAACCAGCCGGCCCCATCCTGTGCTGTTGACGGGCCACATGTACTGTCCCCGCTCCCCTCCGAGCGTCCAGTCTTACCTCTGTGGTAGACACGGGGACGCACAGGGATGGTTCTGAGGCCCCATGCTGACTTCCCAGCCTTGCGTCTAAGCTCCTCCCCCTGGCTGAGGGCCAGCCTGCAGGAGTGGGCAGCACCCCATTTCCATCCACGCTCCTGCGCCCTCCCATCCCGTTCCAGTCACAGTGTTCGGGTCAGTATCCCGTGTCTGCAGAACATTCCTTAAACGGTGTCCCGATGACGTCTGTGATGTGATGTGTTGTCCCTGTATGAAAGTGCCCGCGAGGTGACCGCCCTTGGCTTGGGCCGTGACTGTAGTGTGGCCAGTGCTTGTACTGATGTGGAGAGAGGCACCCTCAGTGCCCCTCAACACAGGCCGCACCGACATCTGCTCAGAAACGTGTTGTGTTGTGTTGTGTTGTGTTGTTGTCCGGGTGTCACTAATGCCAAGCATTCATAAGGACCACATCTTTAGGGCTCTGACAACCGTGAGTCACGATACAGATGTGACAGTTGGTGCAGATTCAAACCCGCGCCAACCAGTGACCGACACCGAAGCCAGTGCTTGGGTCAGAGGTCGAGAGCCTGCCTATCGATTAAGTAGCTCCTCGCCCGCTTCCACGCCCTCCGCTCAGCTTGGTCCCCAACGTGGCCTGCAGCCCGCACTCCCACTGGTGGCGTCCAGAGCTTGTCCACCAACCATCCGACCTTGCCCATGCAAACCACAAATGGGGAAGTCAGTAAGATTCGGTGTTTTTGTGGGTGCTCCCAAGGGGAGCCTGCATTGTGTGGCATGTGGCGTTTTTCTCTCCGCCCAGTGTTAATTTGTGGTCATGAAAACTAGAGACCTTTCCCCCCTCCTCTTCCCTGGCCCCGAACTCTAAGGGGTTGGGCCGAAGCTGCAGCTTCTCTCACATGCTCATCAGCTCAGCTAATGTCCTGGGGGCCGAGAGGGCAGGGCTCAGGAGTGAGGCAGCGAAGCAGTGGCCGTGCCATCAGCCAGCCCCGTTGGCGCTGGTTTTCCCCCTCCTCTCAGGACACAGGTGCACACACCAGCACAGAACAGGTGCGGGAGCTATTCCAGTCCTCTCTGAGTGCCCCTCCTTAGTGAAGCGTGCCCTTTCTTTCCCTTTCCTGCACCTTCCGATCGATCGCCCTCTCCCGCGATCTCCAGAGCTCAGGGGAGTCTTTCTGGGTGGAGTTTCGCATGGAGCAGTGGGAAATGGAAAGCATTGGAACGTCAGGCAGGAGCAGAGGGTTTACAAACCGCGGCTTCTGCTCCAGGTGTTAGTAGTGCTATTTCCTCGTCCCCTACCTGTCAGAGGAACCGTGATCACATTTAAGCTCCACGTTCCTGCCGCCAGGACTCAGTGGCAGAGGTGATGGCACAGCGTGGCCAGGCGTGAGCTTCTGAGCCCCCTCCTTCCGGTTCACCTTTCCCAACAGGCTGAGTCAGGTAAATACCCAGCTTGGCCAGGGAACTGGGCACCAGCTCAGGGAGACCCACGGCAGGTGGAGCCCACTCTTTGGAGGAGACTTTTTATGTTTCTTTCCCTCCCCCCAGCTCCCTTATTTACTTAAAATCTGTGGGAACAGAAGTTGGGGTAGTCTGCCTTCGAGTCCCAGTGCTTGGCTCACCCGCTCTAAATGAGGGTTTCCTTTTGAACAAAGACGGACCCTGCCGGCGGAACACGGACAGCCTGAGATCCGTGAAGCAGTGCGATCTTAACCATGGTTCTCAGTCAGGATTTGATTCGGGTGGAAGTTTGCAAACCAAGTCTCCCGTGCAGGGGGTTATTCCCGTGTTTGATTTGTGACGCTGACAGCAGTCCCCACACAGGAACAGCCTTCCTCCCACTTCCTCCCCGAGTTCACTGCCCACTTCCATCCTTCTTTCCCCTCCTCCTTCCTTGCATTCCTTCTGAGCTCTGTCCCTGCGCAGTTGCGGCCATTCCCATCACCTGTGCATGGTTGCGTGCCCACCTCCCTGGTGCTGCTGTCCACAGGACAGGCCTATCGTTTGGCTGGGATTTGAGCAGGAGGGAGGGGGAGGTGAGGGGGTGAAAGGGTGAGTTCAGTTCTAGGCCTGAGTGTGACTAAGAGCCATAGCCCTGCGTAGTCCATCAGTTTCTAGCAGACTTTTTAAATGATTTTTTATTTCATGTTTCCTCCTTTTTTAATCCAGGACCCCCCTATTGCGATCATTTTCCAAGTGGTAGCCGGGCACCATCTAGTTCTTCTGGTCTCAGGTTCTCAGAGGCTGGGGTTCCTGTGGTTCACGAGTCCTTTGGACTAATTGTGTCTCTGCTCTTTACTGAGCTAAGAGCTGTGGAAAGCCGATAGCCCAAGTTCTTCTACTTAATGTGGTTAGAAAAGATCCCCCTTACTACACGCACCCTCTGTGCAGGTTTTGTAGCTTGACGGATTGCTCAAAGACAAACAGGGTGGATGCAGGCTCCACCTACAAGGGGCAGGAGAGCCTTCTCTTATTTACCCGTTAGTGATTAAAAGCTTGATCCTACTTTCTAGTTAGTCCACAAAGACATCCTGTGACTGGCCTAAGACTAGAAGAACCGGATTGTTCTGTTTGCTTGCTCGTGGTCAACACTTGTTCCCTGTGATTGTGCTGAAAATTGAGTTATTGTAAAATGTCTCTACTTTACTCTCCAGGAAAAGGCAAATATATTGTCCATGAATTCTGATCGCAAACAGGATGCCACTAAGAAATCTGGCTAACTGTCAGTCTCCTCGCTGGTGGTACCTTCTAATAAAAGTTCTATTTCTTCCCCAAACTTGGAGTGATGGAATTGGCTGCGATGTCCAGGGTAAATGTCTGCATTTCAGGAGGCATGGGAGGTCCCTGTCTTGCTGGGCAGAACTCCCATGAACTCACTAGGTGAAGCCCACCCCCTTGGATTTGAAGGAGTTGTCTGGAGCTGCCAGCAGCTTCAGCTGCCCTGCTGTGGTGCTTCACAATCCCTTGGCAACTGTGTTTGCAATTCATTGGCCGAGCTCAGTTCCTAACCCAAGTCATTCACTAGCACTTGATAACTATGCAACTCACTTGTAACCTAGTTCCTAACCTTTGTCTCTAGCACAGCAGTTCTCAACCTGTGGGTCTCAACCCCTTTGAGGGTCGAAGGACCCTTTCACAGGGGTCCCCTGATTCATACTAGTAGCAAAATGAGTTATGAAGTAGCAACGGAAATAACTTTATGGTTAGGGGTGGGGGGCACCAAAACATGAGGAACTGTATTAAGGGGTCCTGGCATGAGGAAGGTTGAGAATTACTGCTCCAGCACTTGGCAACTGTTTGCAACATATTGGCCTAACCCAGTTCTAACCCTTGTCACTATCACTTGACAACTATGTAACACATTGGCCTAATCCAATTCTGCCCTGTCTGCATTTAAAGGCTTATCAAACCCACTACTACTTGGTGGATTCTGGCTCACAGACTCACAATGACAGAGTAGCACTGCTTCAAAGGGTTTTCCAGGGTGTAAATCTATAGATGCAGAATATCTTAACCATTCTTGTTCAGAGGGGCTGGTGGAACCAAACTGCTCATCTTTTGTTTCCCCACTGTGCCACTTACACAGTGACCCAGGGCTGTTAAAAGATGGCCAGGGTTCAGGGGAAGGACCCCGAGCCTACCTTTGGAGCCAGAACCTAGAGAGGTCAGCACTGGGCTGCTAACTGGAAGGTTAGAGGTTGGAGCTCACCATCGCTCAGCAGGACAAAGGACAGCCAGCCACTGGGTCAATTCTAACTCACAGCAACCCTCTATAGGGCTTCCCAGACAGTCCAGAGCCAGGCTGTTGCAACTTTCTCCTGAGGAGCGACTGGTGGGCTTGAACCTCTGGCCTTGGGGTTAGCGGTCCAGCTCATCCGACAGTGATACTAGGGCTCGGAGACCCAGGCAGCATGCTACAGGGTAGCCAGGAGTCAGTTGGCTGGGTTTGTTTTAGAGGGGCCAACAGAAAGCATTTGCACTGCAGTATTGACTCTCCATGCAGACATGTCAGGAGAGACCAGTCCCTGGAGAAGGACACTCTGCTTGGTAGAAAGGAAGTACAGCAAAGGAGAGGAAGCCCCATCCACCAGATGGAATGACACAGTGGCTGGAACAATGAGCTCAAACATAAGACACAATTATGAGGATGAGCAGTGTTTCCCTTTTTTCGTACACAAAGTTGCTTTGAGTAAGAACCAACTCAGGGGCAGCTCACAGTAATGGGTGGTGTAATGGGTTGAGTTGGGGTGCTAACGGAAAGGCCGGCAGTTTGAAGCCCTTGCAAAGATTTGCAGTCTTGGAAACCTGCAGGGGCAGTTCTACTCTGTCTTCCAGGGTTCCTATGAATCGGAATAGATTTTTAAAATTTAATAAATCATTTTATCAGGGGGGGCTTACAGGTCTTATAACAATCCATACATCAATTGTGTCAAACACATTTGTACAGACGTTGCCATCATCATTTCCAAAACATTTTCTTGAGCCCTTGGTATTAGCTCTTCTTTTTACCTGGGAATCGATTTGATGGCAGTGAGTTTGGTACTTCTTTTTTTTTTTTTAATGATTATTCAGCATTCAAGGCTAGCAGACCTCCCCAAAGAGTTATTTCACCAGGGTCACCGTTGGTAAAATCTCACCCAACTGGCCCGTTTTCTGGCTTCAAATTCCAGCGAGGACGTCCGAATACTTCAATTCTCACCGACTTCACCCACACCTATAGGGTTGACCACGCCTCCATCTTTCCGGCCCCCAGCCCCAACCCACGCCGTAAACATCGCGAGATTTTCGTTCGGCCCCTGGGCTTCGGGAGCGCGCACGCAGGCCCGGTGCTCGCCGAGCACGCGGGGGCGGTGCTTCCAGCTGCTGGTCCGCTCAGGTTACGCGGTCTCGCGAGAGTTGCGAGTAAACAGCCCCGAATGGAGACCCGAGGCGTGCTAGCCGCCGCGGCTCCGTTATCCCGAGCCCTCTGGACCGCAGCCTGAAGCGGCTGCAAGTCCGTCTGCCCCCTACTCGCCGCGCAGGTGTGGCGACCGGCCGCCCCCGAGGCCCTGAGGTGAGGTGCGGTCCAGGACCCCCGCTCGCCGCGCGGACGGCCCCCGGGCCTGTACTGCGGCGCCGCGGGGACTGGCAGCCGCGCGTCGGGGACGAGGGGGGCGTGAGCGCCCAGACCTCCCCGCGCGCGCCCTGGTCCGGGACCCGACGGCCCGCCCCGCCCCGGGGGTGTCCGCCGGCCCTCCCGGGCGCATGTGGCCCTGGGCCCCCAGCCTTCCCGGAGGTCCAGATGCCCCGGACGCCGCTCTGCCCGCGGCCAGAAGGGTGGGCGTGTGCCCCGGGGACCCCAGAACCGGCGTCCCGAGGCGCCCCCGGACCATCCCGCCACCTGGCGAGCACCCCTCGATTCGGGCGGAGACTCCGGGGAATCTTGACTTCCTCATCTACTGAAGTCAAGACAAATATTTGCATTTCCTTGAAGCTCCGAAGGACGCTTCTCCAGGCGGTGGGTGGGATCAGACCTCAGGTGAATTCTGCAGCTGGCTTCTTGCGCCCCAGGAAGCCAGCTCTGGGCTCCCACTTCCCGGGCTCCGGTTGCATGAAGGGTTTGGGGAAGAGCCTTACTGCCGCCAGAGGATTCTTAATAAATCTGAAGAATCACTTTTTAAATTACATTTATTTTATGGTAAGAGCTTTTTGGTACCATCCTTGGTACTGTTAGCCTCGTCCATCAGCGAGTTCAAACCCAGCCTCTCAATGGGAGGAAGATGCGGCTTTCTCTTGCCATAAAGACTGACAGCCTTTGAAACACACAGACTCCGTTCCCCTCTGTCCTCTAAGTTTCCTGAGCTGGAATGGACTGGATGGTGGCTGTGGGGTGTGGGTTGTTCGGTGGTCTCTGGATTTTGAGAGTTGTGTAGCCGGTGTCCCCACCATCCACTTTTAGAACGTTTTCCCCACCCCTGAAAGATCCCTCGTGCTTGTTTGCACTCACTACCAAGCCTCAAAGGAGCCCCGGAGGTAGAGTGGGTTACATTCAGGGCTGCGAACTGCAAGGGCAGCGGTTCCAATCCCCCAGCTCCTTTACCTGAGAAAGATGAGGCTTTCTTCTCACACAGAATTAAAGCCTCGGGAACCCTATGGGGCATTTTTACCCTGAACCAAACACACTGTGACTGGGTGATTCTGACGCATAGCAACCCTGTAGGACAGGGTAAAACTGCTCCCTAGTGATTTGCCCAGACGGACTCTTTTTTAAAAATAATTTTACTGGGGGCTCATACAACTCTTATCACAGTTCCATACCCATTGTGTCAAGCACATTTGTACCTTTGTTGCCATCATCATTCTCAAAACATTTTCTTTCTACTGGGTATCAGCTCCTCATTTTCCCTCCCTTCCTCATGAACCCTTGATAATTTATAAAGTATTATTTTTTTCATGTCTTACACTGACCACTGTCTCCTTTCAACCACTTTTCTGTTGTCTGTCCCCAGGGAGGAGTTTATATGTAGATCATTGTGATTGGTCTCCCCCCACCACCACCTTTCCTTTACCCTCTTGGTATCACTACTCTCATTATTGGTCCGGAGGGGTTTATCTGTCCCGGATTCCCTGTGTTTCCAGCTCTTATCTGTACCAGTGTACATGCCCCAGACAGACTCTTTATGGGAGCAGAAAGCCTCCTCTTTCTCCCTCGAAGTGGCTGGTGGGCTTGAACTGCTGACCTTGCAGTAAGCAGCCCAACACATAACCTGTTACTATACCAGGGCTCCTGTACCCTGTTCTGTAGGTTCCCTGTAAGCCAGAACCACCTCAATGGCAGTGAGTTTGGTTTGGGGCTTGGCCCCAGGCAAGCACTAAGCTACTTTCTGTCCCTCAGTTTGCTTTCTCTGAGACTCTCATGCAGGCCTCTCTGGCTGCTTTCAGGAGTCACGCCTCTACTCCCCTTTAGCCTTACAGCGCCCTCTTCTATGGCGGGTTGATCCCGCGTCACATGGTTATTGCCACCTGCCGTCTGTCTGTCCAGCAGGGCGTTCACTACAAATAGAAACATTACAGTATACCTGCCGCTGTGTGCAGCAGCAGGAGCCTGGCATTGGGGTGCTTACCCTACAGGTTGAGGTCCCCAGTAAAAGCAGTAACAGTCGGTACCCAGAAAGGTTTCCAGCCTCAGAAACCCTGGGGGCAGTGGGGTCTCTGGGCCTCCCTAGAGAGTTTTCCCTGCACACAAGGGAAGAAGAGGTGTGGAGTCCCTGGATGGTGCAGAACGCGGAATCACTCCCTGGCCGCCCTGCGCTGGCTGACCTACCTGGGGCCGCTTGGAGGCTGATGAGGAACCGCCCACCTGCCTTGAGGTGCTGCAGGGAATTCGAAGGCAATTTGCTCCTCTCAGTCCTTGTGTGTCGGCCAGCGGGAGGAATTTAAAAGTCAAGCGAGGAGGGGAATAAGTCTTCAGAGCATGAGGTGAGCCGGGGGAAAATGGACAGAATGAGACGTGCCGCAGGGCCCTCACCCACGGCCTTCGCCTGTTGCAGCACGGAGGTCTGTGGCCCTGCTGGGAGACAGCGGCTGACGAGCACAGCCATCCTCCGGTTCAACGCTGGTCAGTGTGTAAGGCGTCGTCAAAGCAGCCTCTTTTTAGTCGCCACATTTTCAGTCGAGCCAGATCGCCCCCTCCGGTGGTCTAGACAATCCAGGGCTTTCCCGGAACGGTGTCAGTAAAGCCAGCTTATTCTGTCAAAGCTGGCCTCGCCAGGCCAAGGAGATGTTGAGGGCCCCACCTCATCTTCCCACCTCACCTGACTGCCCCAGAGGGATCATTTGAGATGGCCCTGAACCCTGATCTTTGCAATAACTCTCATGCCAACCATAAGGGGCAGCATCTCTGTGGGTCGCTGTGAGTTAGAACCTTGGAGGCAGCCCTGCCCTGGCCTGTAGGGTCTCCGTGAGCTGGAAGCGTCTAGACCGCAGTGGCTTGTGAGGGGCTTCCTGCAGTGCATTACTTTAACCACTTGCTTCCATCATCCTTCCATTGCCCACGGCCCAGTGCTCTCCTGGGGTTACCCAGGACCCTCTCCCACCCAACACCCAACCTGTAACTCCCTCATACCTCCATCCCATTGGCCACACCAGGCCCATTCACAGGCCCGAGGGAGGAAGATGTGGACACCTTTCGGGGCCATTGGTCAACCAGCCATAGGACCAGAATGGGACACTGCTTCCTGGCCCCCCTGCTGGCCAGGCCATCCTTGCACCTGCTGCATGTGGCTACACAGATGGACAGACTGCTGCCTTGCAGCCAGCGTCCTTATGCAGACGTCACACGGGTCCATGCTTGTTTGGAGTAAATTCTTAGGGGAGGTTGTAGGGAGGCCACATAACCTAGCCTCTTCATAAGGCCAGACCTGAGGCTCAGCCCCTGAGTGGGTGTGTCCCCACCCCCACCCCCACCCCGTGTGTGCCCTCACAAAATCGAACCTGCTCTAGCAGCCCCCCACACAGCCCCTACCGCCACCAGGCACCTCAGGAGGGAGGGAGATAGGGAGATGGGAGGGAGAGTCCAGCTTTCACCGGGCCCATGATGGCATTTGGGGGAATTGAAGTGGAACTGGGGGTCCGTGCTTGAGGGAGGCCTTGGAAGGTAAAAAGACAGCAACGTGGGAGCCCATGATACAGGTCCTCAGGTCTTGGTCCCTCGCCTCTCAGCTGCTGGGACGCCCAGGGCCACCATGCTGACTGCCTGCTAATCACAGTTATCCTTAACTCCCCCCAACCACCACCACCATTTCTCTCATTTAATAGATCCTTTTTACCATTGAAGCTGCCTTAGCTCTCTGTCGCCGTGCCCCCTAGTGAGCCAGGTGTGGTATAGTGAAGTCAATGTGGGAAGGTAAGCCGCTTCTTGGCTATGTGAACTCAGATGGAAGCCCTGGGTGATCACATGGTCAGTGTGTGTTGCCCCTCACTGACGGATTGGAGGTTCAGGTCACCTTGAGGGTCCTGGGAGAAAGACCTGGTGGGTGATCCACTTCTGAGAAGCTAGCTGACGGCTGCAGACCCCTGGAGCACAGTTCTGCTCCGGCCCACCTGAGGTCATCGTGGAGTGGGGTTACCTCTTCGGCCCCTGGGACCAGACCGTGCCCCAGGTCCACTGACGCCTGGCGGTGTTCTGTCCCGTAGGTTGGCCCACAAGTGATCCCCCACTGCCCTTGGACCTTGACTCCACACTGCAAATGGCTCTCAGAACTCCGTAGTCTCGCCGGAGCGGGAGGCGCCTGGAGCCCACGATGGAGAAGAAGCGGAGAAAGAAATGAACGCCTCCTCTCTGGCCAGGCCGCACCAGGCCACGCCGCTCCCCGGGGCTCCGCGGCAGACCGGACCGCGAGGTGGCTGAGCAGTGATGCATGTGCCCCTGGCCGAGACGGCACGGACCTTGTAGTCAAGCTTTGGGTTTCCAGGACTGGGGGGGTGCCTCCTCGCACGACCATGCCGCGTGCGCTCTCCTGGCTGCTGCTGCTGCTGCTGCTGGTGGCCCTGCTCCGCGGGAAGCAGCAGCCCCTGGGGGGCCGGCTGGAGAAGAGGCCTTTGGAGAAGGCCCCGTGCCCCGGCTGCCCACACCTGACACTGAAGGTGGAGTTCTCCTCGACCGTGGTGGAATACGGTAAGCAGTTGTCCCGCTGGCCTCCCCAAGCTCAGCCCAGGCACATTCTCTCCCCTCCCTGGCAGGGGAGCAGGGGCCCAGCTTCTGGACGGTCAGGCATCCAAGGGCAAGACAGTCTGGGGTCTGTACTGAGGCACCATTGCCAGGAAAGGAACCTCCCCTGTAGTGGGTGGCAGGGAGGGTCTGGGAGAGCTGCTGGGGCGCGGGGTGCAGGGGCTTGGGGTGAGCAGCCTGCCGTAGTGCTGGGCCTCCTTGGTTTCAGAGTACATCGTGGCCTTCAACGGGTACTTCACCGCCAAGGCCCGCAGCTCCTTTATCTCAAGTGCCCTGAGGAGCAGCGACGTGGACAACTGGCAGATCCTCCCCCGTGACAACCCATCTAGTGACTACCCCAGCGACTTTGAGGTCATTCAGATCAAGGAGAAGCAGAGAGCAGGGCTGCTCACCTTGGAAGGCCACCCCAACATCAAGCGTGTCACCCCCCAGCGGAAGGTCTTCCGATCCCTCAAGTACGCGGAGTGTGAGTATGGGGTCTCGGGGTCACCTCCCTGCCATGAGCACACCAGGAAGTCAGTCAGTCTCTCTCTCTCTCTCTCTCTCTCTCTCTCTCTCTCTCTCTCTCCCTCACACACACACACACACACACACACACACACACACACACACACACACAGAGTTGTTGACAATGATTGGGACGCCACAGAGTTAAGGAGCGAGCAGTGTTGCTCCTCGGGAAAAATGAGTTGTTCCACTCCGTAAAGATTTGCAACCTCAGAACCCGCTGGGGCAGGCCTACCCTGTCCTCTGAGACCACCCGTCTTGAGTCAGGACTGACTCGATATCCGTGGTCGTGGTGGGACTGGAAGTGACCTTTCCCCACGGTCAGCCCAGAGCCCTCCCACCTCTCAGGAACAGCCCTCCCACCCCGGGGACTCTTTGCTCTCCTCTCCTTGCTCCTTCCCGCCGTGGGGCTTCTCCCTTTCCGCCCGTGTGGGGCCCTCTGCTGTGTGTCCTCTGGGGTCTCGCTCTGCCACGCAGCACCACAGGGCCACACACAGCGAGGCTCTGCGGGGGCGGCAAGGGCCCCTCAGCAGGTGTTGCCACAGGCTGTAGACAGCTTTGTTCAGGAAAGTCCCAGACTGGAGTGGTCGCTTCGCAGCGTGCCCTCCCTGCAGGCCCATCCACTCTGAGGAACAGTATCCCCTCACCCTCGCCTTCCCGAGAGTCCATGCTTTTCCCTGGACACCACGGCGAACAGTAGCTGGGCATCCTTCAGGGACTCATTCGTGTGCGTTTCACTGTGGTGTGAGTTGAGGGATGGACAAGCGTCTGAAGAGGCAAGCGCTCAGGGCGCAGGTTAGGTGGGGGAAGGTTTCCCGGTGAAGCTTTCCCAGCACCACTGTCCCCTCCAAGAGTGAGCCAGCAGGTTCACCCTTGTGGTGGGCAGTGGGGTCCAGTACAGCCTTTCTGCCCCTTCTCTCACCCACGCAGGTTCCCATTTCCTGACACCTTCTTCCTAAGGAGCCCCCGAGAGGGGTCTGTCCTTGGAGGATCTGGGTCAAAACTAATCCATTGCCATTGAGTTGGCCCCTCATAGCAAGCTTGTGGGCCAGGGCCGAACTCCCCCTGCTGGTGTCTGAGGGTGTCACTCTTTCCCGGAGCAGGAAGCCTCCTCTTTCTCCCAGGCACTGTGAGGTCACAGCCGCCACACCACCAAGGCTCCCTGGAGCAAGGGCGACTCTTTGGCATCCCGGCACACAGTAGCCGTCCGCGGTCTGAGCTGGCCTCTCTGCCTGCAACTGAACTGGCCCAGCAGCTCCCCTTGGGACCCAAGGTTTGGGCGGGACCTTTTATTTCAAAGGCACCCTGTGGAGGGGCGCGTTCTTGGAGAGCTTGTCTACAGCAGGAGGACCAGGGAACCCTCCCAGCAGTGTTGTGTTCCTGTCTGTTCCGTGTCTTCTGTTGGTGCTGGCACCGTGAGCAAAGAGAGGTAGCCTGGTCTGCCTCCTCTTGTACCGTGCATCTGCCCAACAGTGCCTCTGAGCCTCTGAGGTCGGACAGCCTCACAGAAACGGAAACACAAGGAGACGGCGAAGTAATCTGCCTACCAGAAGGATAGGAACTGAGTGTGTGTGTGTGTGTGTGTGTGTGTGTGTGTCCGTCCCCTCTCCCAGAAGGAACCCTGGTGGCATGATAAGTCATGTGTTGGGGGGCGCCCACAAGGTTGACAGGTCAAGCCACCAGCAGCTCCATGCACAGGAGAAAGGCGGGTGTTCTACGCCCATTAACGGGGTTGCTGTGAGTTGGCATTGACTTGAAGATAATTGAGTCATGTTGTATTCTGGATGCCCATGAGGGTCCCTGGGGCACAGTGGGTTACATGCTGGTTTGCTAACTGCAAGGTCAGCAGTTCGAAGCCACCATCCGCTCCTCAGAAGACAGGTGAGGCTTTCTACTCCCATAAGCAGTTGCAGCCTTGGAGACCCACAGGGGCTGTTCTACCCAGTCCTGGGCTCCTAAGAGTCCACGTGGACTCAGTAACAGCGATGAGTGTGTTTGTCGGGGTCTTTTGTTAGTGGTATCGGTTCTCCTTGTAAAGTCACTGTTTCAAGGCAAAGCAGCAAAATACAAAGAAATGAGAGTGATACACAGCGCTCTCTTTCCACCACCATACGTGCTTTCTAATGCTGGAGGGAATACCACACGGCCTGCCCACTGAGCACCTGGCAGTCAGTCTCCTCCTCCCTGTCTGTGAGGTGGACCGCCCCCGCCAGGAAGCCGGCGCCCCCTTTAGCCGTGAGCCACACTCCTGTAAGCTTCCATGTCCTCACCCCGAGGAGCCCTGGTGGCATTGTGGGTTCCACATCAGGCTGCTAACCACAAGTTCAAAACCACCAGCTGCTCCTTGGGAGAACAATGAGGCTTCTCCTCCCATAAAGAGTTAAGAGTCTCAGAGACACCGAGGGGCAGTGTGTTTGGGTTTGTGTGTTTTCCTCAAGCACACAGTGGTGCCTCTGCGTGCACCACAGCGCCCCTGTGCAGCTAGAGTGACGTGCTGCCCAGGAGGAGGGCCGAGCAGAGGTGGCAAGCAGCGTCGGAGACGCTCAAAGCTGATGGTGGCTGTCGCTCTTTGGGGTTGAAACCTGTCGCGTTCTGGATCCCAGCCATTGCCTTGGCCAGCGGGCAGGAGACAAAGCTGACCTGTGTTCCACAGGACAACACTCACAAGTACTTGGAAGCAGGCGTGTGTGCGTGCACCCACTGGCCCTCAGGTGCTCTCTCTCACACACGTTTGAGGATTCCGGGGGGTGTGCGAGGGGGCGAGGTCCCTCTCCCCATTGCATCTCTCCGGGCTCCTGAAAACTCCCAGGGCCTTCACTAGCTACTTGGGTGTCAGGGTCTCAAGTCTCCTCACATTCTCTACTTTCTGTCACCCTTCTAAAGGCAGAGGCCAGCCCTGACAGTACTGTGGGAGGGGAGCCGGCCAGACTCGCCCTCTCCCTGAACAGGGTGCCCGGTCAGTGCCTCCAGTACAGCTCCAGGCTGTTGACTTTACGGCTGGATCTCGGGTGCGGGGAGGCTGGAGTCAGGGAGAGAACTTGGCCCTGGGAACGATGGCAGGGGCTGCTGCTGCTGCTGCTGCTTCAGGCTCCTTTGAAATCTTGGTTTCCGCCCACGCTCCGGAAGGAGGTTTAAGATCTGATTGACAGATGAGAAAATCCACCCTCTGTAGTGTCCATTTTGGCATGTTTTGATGTATGCGCGCTCCCCCCCACCTTTTCCCTCCGTGTTTATCCACGCCACTTTTTCACCCTTCAGAACAACAACATATGAAAGGGAAGGACACGTGCGTGTGTCAGGAACACCAACGGGAGGAAGACAGGAGGGGACCGCTCCCGATTCCCAGCTTCCCACTCTAGTTCTTGGCCCTTCCCTCCCCCTTCCTTCCCATCAGGGAGGAGTTGCGCGTGAAAACCTGGTTGTGCTTCTATTTTAAGGCTACACGTGGCTCTGCTTCTCTGCAAATGAGTGTGAGCCCGTGTGCCTTGAATGGTGAGAACACTCCAGGCGAGTCAGGACCGGGCTCTGTCCTCAGCTGGGAAAACCCTGCTCGGCAGCCCTACCCGCCCCTGCTGTCTGTCAATGTGTGTGACCGCCTCTCCTCTCTCTCCTCTCTCTCCTCCCCCTCCTGGGACCAGCTGACCCCACCGGGCCCTGCAATGACACCCGCTGGAGCCAGAAGTGGCCGTCGTCCCGCCCCCTACGCAGGGCCAGCCTCTCCCTGGGCTCCGGGTTCTGGCACGCCACCGGACGCCACTCCAGCCGACGGCTGCTCAGGGCCATCCCCCGGCAGGTGGCGCAGACCCTGCAGGCCGACGTGCTGTGGCAGATGGGCTACACAGGTGCGTCCTGCAGGCAGGTGGAGGGCGAGAGAAGCCCTGGGTGGGGGTTCTGGACGCCACGTACGGACGGGCTCCTGCTCTCTTCCGGCAGCACTTGCTCTGCTCGGGGTGGGTGGTGGCCACTGCTCCCCCGCCAGCACAGGCCCACAGCTCTTGGGAAGGACAGAAAGTCAGCCAGGCAGTTACCAGTCTCACAGGTGGGCCCCGAGGCTGTTTTCACCCCCTTCAGGTCTTAAACAGAACTCGACACTCCTCACCCTCCATCCTCATCTCTGCCTGCACTCCACGCAAGGGACAGGCTGACTGGGGAGCAGAATCCCAGGGAGGCACACAGGCCTAAGGCAGACCAGCTCAAGGACCCCTGGTGAACAGGAAGCCAGCTTCACTGTCAGGCTGTGGTTCTAATACCCAGCACGGGCTCCCTTCTCGTGTTCGTCCATCTGGCAGTGTAGTGAGCATTCGTTCTGCGTCCGTGTGGGCCCCGCATGCCAAGTGACAGAGGAGCTGACCGTCTGACTCGCCGGGTGTGGGTTTCAGACTAGGACAGTTAGCAACACTGCGGAGGGAAGCAAGCTTCCCTCCAGAAAGTGCCTGTTGTAGCCGAGGCAAAGGTCTGTACCCACGTGAGCCGATATCTCCTGATGATCAGACCTCCTTCTTGCCTCCCCCGTCTCCCCTGCAGAGCGCTCTCTGTGTCCCCCACACAGACGCCCCTTCCTGTGGGCGCGTGTTTCTGGGGCTGGATATCTGGGAGCAGTGCGTGCTTATCAGTGACACGTATGACCCTCCAGCCAATGCAGCGCTCACCCAGGATCAGGAGACGTTTGCTAGAACTTCCAGGTCCCTGGGGTTGATGGTGTCTCAGGGTGGAGCAGATGGCTCTGGCTGCTATCAGAAACAGATGCATCAGTGTTGATGGGAGAGGAGCCCCCATGACCCACTCCCGATGGGGTGGGGTGGGGAGGGCTTCAAAATGTTTGTGGAGAAAGCATCTGCTTTTTAATTCCACTTCACCACCAACTCTTTGAGGCCCCCTTGTTATGCCCATATTGTTGGGGTTGGCCACAGAAGGAAGGTGCCCTGGGGCTTCTCATCAGTTTGCTCACCGCTAGGTCAGTAGTTTGAATTCACCAGCTGCTCTGAGGGAGAAAGATGAGGCTGGCTGCTCTGAAGATTTAGAGCCTCGGAAACCCTTCATAAGGTCACTATCAGTCAGATGCAACTCCATAGCTGTGGGTTGGGTTTTTTTATGTAAGGGGGGGCTACTTCCTACGTGTGGTCTGCCCCTCCATCCATAGCTCATTCCAGAAAGTGTCACATGCTTACAGCTGTTAATAAGCTGCATCAGTAAGCTGCAGCCCAGGGCAGGGCAGGGGCAGTCCGGGCTTTGGAGCAAGACCTGCTCCTTAGCTATGTGTTTGGCGGGTGCTCTTGGCCCTCTGAGGAGTTGAGAGTGGGAGGCCTGGTGTGCATTCCCAGGGCATCGACCAGTAGCAATTGTCGGTGCGTGACCTGTCCAGAAGGACTTTCTTTGGTCTTGCCAGCAGCTGAACAGCCACAGCAGGGTCTCTCCCGTGGTCCTGGACCCCTCAGCCCCCAGCTGTGCACATAGAGCTCCGGTGGCTGGGAGGGAGCCCCATGTGGTTTCTGACCGTGGTGCATTATCCCCGTGGAATCAGGGGCCAGTGTCCGAGTGGCTGTCTTTGACACGGGGCTCAGTGAGAAGCACCCCCACTTCAAGAATGTGAAGGAGAGGACCAACTGGACCAACGAGCGGACACTGGACGATGGTGAGCCCCCCTCTACTCCTGCTGGGCTTATAGCTCTTGGCACAGCATCTGAGAGAGAATGGGGTAGCCAGGGAAGGAGGCGGGAGGGGCTGGGCCTAGACTCGAGGTGGAGACCCCAAGGGCCCTGAGGCTGCCGGGTGTTGTCCATCCTCAGTCGTGGTCACCTCCTCTGCTGCAGGGCTGGGCCACGGCACCTTTGTGGCAGGGGTGATCGCCAGCATGAGGGAGTGCCAGGGCTTTGCCCCTGATGCCGAACTCCACATCTTCAGAGTCTTCACCAATAATCAGGTAGGTGCCTCCCTGAAGCACTGCGGGCAGGAGTTATAGGACACACACTCACCATGACACTCTGAGCTGCAGGCCAGCCTCCTTCAGTCTCTGTGAGGCTGCCTTCTGCCCCGACCCCTGCTCACCAGCTCAGCTCACCCCAGGTCTCTGGCAGCCCTGGCACACATGCTGGCCTGCGCATCCTCTTGTATGGGGGGCTTTTCCAAAGGAGTGTAGATTTCTTTCACCTTTCAACTCCATCTTTCTGTGGACTTTTGGAAGTCCCCTTGTGTATACTCAATAACAGCAAAGTATCCTTCAGAAAATCGAGGCGCTACTGCGTCTGCCTTTCCCTGGGAAGCCCGTGGTGGGGCTCGTTGAGCGACTTGTGGCACAGAAGGGACTCTGACCTGCTCAGGTGTCGTACACGTCCTGGTTCCTGGACGCGTTCAACTACGCCATCCTGAAGAAGATCGACGTGTTGAACCTGAGCATCGGCGGCCCCGACTTCATGGACCACCCCTTCGTTGACAAGGTGGGTGCCGAGCTGCCCGGGCCCACCCCACCCTGTGTGCAGACCCAGAGGGCGTTGCTTGTGGGGCCCTTCATCGTAACAGCAATTGGCATTGGGAGGTCAGGTGGTTGGCTCAGCCAAACACCTGCTTCGGGGCCATCCAGTCAGTGTCCGAGCCGTGCATGTGGTACGGGGCTCCCAGTGGTTTTCTTGAGACCAGGCACTCCTCCTGTGGTAAGGCTCCACACTCCTGGGCACCTGAGAGTGGACGGACAGGACCACTGTCCCAGTAGCAGATGCCTTGAGTCTCCGCCCTGTGTGGCTCATTCTCACGGGAACCATGCATGGGTTCCCCCGGGCTGTGCTCGCTCCCCGGAACCACTGGGAAGCAGGCAGTCTGTGCAGCCCACTGCTCTGTTGCAGGGGTCTGTCGCTCACCTCCAGCTTCCGCCCCATTTTGGGGCACACCTGTGCATTTCATTGTGTTTCCAGTGAAAGCTGACTCAACCAGTTAGGCCTCCGCTTGGCGGTGTGCATACAGGTGTGTTCAGGGACCTCACTTAGGTGTTCCGTGCTGCGTCAGCATGCTCTTTCCTGGTGTTCTGTTTGCTCTGCTGAGGCTGTATCCTCCCAGCCCCTTATCTCCTCATCTTTGTTTTCAGAGGTCAGGGTCTCAAATACATGTCTCTGGTTTTTGTGTGACAGAACTACCCACTCACAGGTAACATTTTTTAGGTTGTAGATCAGTTTAAGGTGACCGGGGTCAGCTCCAGACTTTCTGAGACTCGGGCTTCCAGTCTCCGTTTCCCTCCCGTCCTTCACAATCCATCCTGGTCGGAGTGGCTGGCCGTGGTAGCTGGGCACCACCTAGTTCTTCTGGTCTCAGTACACGAGGCATGGCTCATGCAGACCGAGTTCTGGTCTCAGTAGACGAG